AGAAGAATTATAAACTCACTTTATTCGCGGACGATATGCTACTATTTTTAACTAATCCAAAGGAATCCCTGCCCTCTCTTCAGAACACACTGAAAGAATACAGCGAAGTATCCGGCCTAAAAATAAACCATACAAAATCAAAATTAATGCCAATCCACATAAAGCAAAAAACAAAGGAAAAGATTTTAGAGACATCCCAATATGAATGGACCGAAACTACATTAACATACCTTGGAATCAAAATCCCAATGAAACTGAATGAATTACTAGAACAGAATCACACTCAAGTATTCAAGGAAATCAAAACACAGCTACAAAAATGGGAAAAAACAAACCTAACTTGGACAGACAGATACAATTTAATTAAGTCCGTTATTCTCCCTAAATTCATTTTCCTTTTTAGAGCCATACCAATGGAGATACCAAACTCAAAATTAAAAGAATGGCAGAATACACTAAATAACTTCCTGTGGGCACAAAAAAAGCACAGAATCAGGGCACAAATACTATACAGATCAGATAAGAGGGGAGGACTGAAATTCCCAAATTTACAAAACTATTACTGTGCCACCCACCTTGCCAAGATAATAACTATGCTTAAAAAAGAAAATCTTCCAGACTGGATAAACATAGTATCGGTTAAGGCAGAACCACATACACTAAGAGATATAGTGTGGCAACAGTCTAACTTTAGGCCCAAAGAAATGAAGCAAAACAAATTTCAAAATCCAACACTATCAATCTGGGACAAATTTAGGAAAAAACTCACACCAGTCATCTCAAGGTTTTCCCCTTTTTATGGTCAAGCCTGGTACCCACCAGGTCAATGCACCCGTACCCACCAGGCCAATGCACCCAAGAGTATAAAAAATGGAAAGAAGCAGGTCTAACAACACTAGAAGACCTGACATTAAACAGGGAAATAATGAACAAAATCACAATGGAACAAAAATATGAATTAAGCATACCATGGTACCAATATCTCCAAATTAACCACCTATGCTCAGAAATAAAACGTAGAGATATTCTGCGAAAAAGCATAACTCCTTTTGAAGCATTGATAAGAGATGCAGACGAAAGTAAGAAAGGGGTAATATCCAAAATATATGCCATCTTAACGTCCTTTCAAGAGAACACAATGCTACCATATCAGAAATACTGGGGGAAAGTGTGTAAAACAGAACACACCCAAGATAAATGGCTAGATATCTGGAGAACCTATGAAAACAAATCCCCTATAATTACACAAAAATGGCAAAAGTTCAGAATAATATCCACCTGGTACAAAACTCCTGAACAAATATCATACATTGCAGTTAATATGAATAAAGAAATAATGATGTCATCTTGGGAATACTTATGGGAAAATGCGATGAAAATATCAACGTGTAATAACTTAAAAGAAAATTGTTATAAGATGATGTATAGATGGTATATGACACCAAAAAAGATTGCTAATATGAATAGTAATATGTCAAACAAATGTGTAAAATGTGTAAAATGTAGAGGGCTCGTTTTATCATATGTGGTGGACTTGCGAAAAAGCAAAAAGCTATTGGGCTGAGATACATGCATAAATGGAAAAAATTGTAAAATGTAAATTTAACAAAGAACCGGAAATACTACTTTTGGGACTCAAAATGGAGGAAGTTAATGTGGCAAAAAGGACATTGATGTGGTATATGATCACAACTGCCAGAATGACATATGTTCAATGTTGGAAGCAGGATAAAGTGCCTGAAGTTGGGGACTGGATTAAGAAATTACTTTTTATGGTTGAAATGGACAAATTGACAAGGAAACTTAACAATTTGGAAGCAGAAGACTTCATTGCAGACTGGAAAGACTTTAAAGACTATCTGGAAAAGAACTGGGATGTAAGGGATAGTTTATTTAGCTTTGACAATTATTGAAAGTTAATAGATATTAAAAAATAGATTAAGATATAAAAACAAAAAATGGAGGGAGAAGTTACCTATAGATATATGTAAAAGGGGGAAAAAAAGAAGGGTGGGATGAAGAAGATTTAAGAAGAGAGCAGGAGGTTGGAGCACTGTGGGAAGCCGCACGGGGGAGGGGGAAAGGGTGGAGGGTAGGATGTATAAGTATAAAAGTTTGTGACATGTTTGACTTTGTTTATTATATCCTAATAAAATTTAAAAAAACAAATATCATACATTGCAAATAATTCAAGCCCACTTTGCTGGAGGGGGTGTAAGGAAATAGGCAGTTACATACACTGCTGGTACGATTGCCTGGAGGTAGCATCCTTCTGGGATAAAATAATAGAAGAAATAACTATCATAACCAAAATCAAGATAGACAAATCCATGGAAGCTCTGCTTTTAAATCTCAGAGAGGAAAATGCTCTATCTAATACACAAAGGAAAAGAATCTCTCTATTACTATTTGCAGCCAAAACCACATTAGCAGCCACATGGAAATCCACGAGTAGGCTCAATGTAAACCTCTGGTACAAAAAGCTATGGAACCTTTATATAATGGAGAAAATCTCAGATACTCTGAAACAAAATCTATCTAGAGGTGGTCAGAATGACATTGTATGTATATGGTACCCCATACTAGTACATCTATCTACCAAAGAAACAGTACCTGATGTAATAAACACTCTGCATCTATGGTAATTTTCAAACTATAATACCAACAAACTATACGAAATGTATGAAACCATTGAGAGCTGACTACTCTCATGCTTACCTTGTAAATCTTTGCTGTTTATGAAAAAGAATAAAAATTATCTGTTAAAAAAAAGGAGATTGGATAGATTTGTGGGGGATAGGTCCATCAGTGGCTACTAGCCATGGTGACTAAAGGGAACCTTCATGCTCATAGGCAGTCAACCTCTGAATTGAGTGCCAGGAGGCAAAATCAGGGTAAGGCTTTGGCTTCTATGCCCTATTTTTGGCCCTCTGGAGGAACTGGTTGGCCACCGCGTGAGGCAGGATGCTGGACTGGATGGACCACTGGTTTGATCTAGCAGTGCTCTTCTTATGTTCTTAAGCTCTTTTCAAGGGCACCCCCACATAGAGTTCATTGGAGGAATCTAATCTAGATGTAACCAGGGCATTCACCACAGTGGTCAGATCTTTTCTGTCCAGGAAAGGTTGCAGCTGGCTAACCAGTCAAATCTGATAAAAGGCACTCCTGACCACAGCAGCCACCTGCTTATTCAGCGGTAGGTCTGAGTTCAGCAGCATGCACAAGCTATGGACCTGCTCCTTCAGGAGGAGCACAACCCCATCTAGAGCAGGAGAAACCTCAGTTCCAAGATCAGTTCTTCCAGCAGCTAACTCATTGGTGTAAGACAGAAACTCCGTCAAGGGTGTGCTTCCCCAGCCCAATTTGAGAAAGCACTCGGCAGTCTTGTAGAGGAGAATCCAAACTTAAAACTTTATTAATAAAGGAGGAAATGTACGGGCACAACAAGGTTTTGAACCCTTGAGTACCCACAGCTCTCCCTAAGGTTACAATGGGAGACATAGGGTTTTATACCCCCTATGACAGAAATAAATCATAATTATTGGTTTCATCAAACTTTGTCATATATCCGTCACACCATTCTGATTGGGCTCAAACCTGTAGGCTGGATTTTCTCAGGCAAAAATATACCTCCTCCAGCTAAACAATAGGCTTTCTTCTTTTCAGGCTGTAAAATTCCAAAAAGTATCTAATGTAACAAATATTAGTACATCATGCAATGTTCTTCATCTAACACAAGCAAACTGACATCAGGAGCATATGCAGTTACGATTGGCAAGAACAAGCAAGGTCACTGCAGTATGATTGCCTGTCAGCATTTAGTATTTTACCCAGGATGCTTTTAAGCAATGAACCAAAGTGAATATCTGAATATATGTTCATGATTGATTTCAGTCACTGTGATTAGAATCATCAAAGGCACTTAACATATGCACCATGGAAGTGTTAAGTGCACCTACTAAGTTAAACTGACTTAGTCACTGGCAGAGTGCAAAGTGTTTCATAAGCGGTGTGTACAACATTGGTATCTTGTCAAGATTAAGTTTTTCATTCAATTGGTGGCTTGATCCTGCACTGGGGTGGGGGTGGTACAAAACCATTAAGTCCACAGGCTAAAAATACCTACCTGCACTGCTGGTTGATGTTTTGTGACTTGTGATACGAGGTGACCGAACTATTCCAGAGTGTGTTTTCTCACTTGGGGTAACATGGTTTATCTGTATGTTCTTTGTACCGCCAGTTGCAGCTAGATTTTGCAATCTTTTTTCTTCATATTATGGCATAACCAGTTGATTGATAATAACTTCAGTTATATAATTGGAAGTGAAATTACTTTTAAGTGCTTGGCTCTTTTAAACTGGCTGGCAGAATGCTCTGTCTTCAGAGTTCCAGGGCAGTTGAACTGAACAACTGAAGGATATGCCGCAGGTTGTCACATGTCAAAACCAGTAGCCATACGGTATGGTCAAGCAATAGGAAAGCCACTATAATGTGTTACACTACATTATAAAGTGCCATGTACAGTCATGGTGTTATAAAACTAATATAAATGATATGTGGATGATTGCCTAATGACTGTATGTGGCCATTCATACATACACTGGAATCTCCTTCCTTGAGATGTAATTGTATACCACTGAGAGGTGTGAATACCAGATTCACATGGAGGGCCAGTTGTGTGGACCTTTTGCATCCAAGTGTGAAGGGCAAAATAAGACATTTAAAAAAATTTTAAACTAATTTATTAGCCAAATCAAGTATTTTTAAGCCTTCTGTGCAACAGTGTGCCATTTATACGTATTTCATATCTTGCTGTATTGAGTCAATCCATATTTTAATAGAGGACTTTTTGTTTGTTTGTAATTTTTGTGGCATTGCTAGCCTTGTTTCAAATTGACTGCATTAATGCAGAAAAACAAAGCTGGCCTTGTCTGTGGAATTCTGTTTATACCAAACATCAGTGGATTCCATGGTGATCCTTTTGTGTATGTTCCATCTAGACTGAGAGAGAGCGTATGAAATTGGCTTGTTCAGAGCTGACGAATCAACAGGTATTGGACCGTATACGAGAAGTAGTGAGTGCTCGTTTTCAGGCTGTTGAGCAAGAGTTTAAAAACGCAGACACTGCAAGAGCAAATGTTGTGTCAAAAGAAGACTTCCGAGGTATCTGCCATCGGTGGTTTATGCTTCTGACTGATCAGCAGGTAAGGCACCCAGAAGGAAATTTCCCCAAGATCTGTTAGTGTACTTATTTACCTAATATACCTTTGCATATATGTCAATAGCAACCCATGGTACTGTCATTTAAAATAAACGACGCAGCAGAAGACTGTGCAATTGACATGACTCTAACTGCTCTCTCCTCAGCAATTCCGTTTGCCCTCATTCTTGGGCAACTGTAACACACAGTATTTTAATATTCTCCAAATGGAAAGGCCAGGAAAGCAATGAGTAGGAGGTATGTCACCTACATAATCGTCTGCTATGCTATTAGCATTTGTTTGTTTATTGCCAGTCTTTCTCACTGAGACTCAAGAGGGATTTTGCAATTAAAAACAATGCAGTAAGAACAGTAATATAATGAAAAGGTGGATTACGCAATTAAAGCAATAAGAACTGTATAATATAATTAAAAACTAAGGCTAATATTATACAGACAACAAGCAGTGCAGTGCAGTGAAACTGGATTGTAGGGTTAAGAACAATACACTCCAAATGTCATAGAATATACAGTGAACAATGTCATGAACTGCCTACAGTTAAGACGCTGAACTGCAGGCTGTGGAAGGTCAGTAGTTCAGCAGTTCGAGACCCAGGTGCCGCATGATGGAGTGAGCTCCCGTCTCTAGTTCCAGCTCCTGCCAACCTAGCAGTTTGAAAGCAAGAAATTGCAAGTAGATAAATAGGTACCACTTCGGTGGGAAGGTAACAGCGTTCCGTGCGCCTTGGTTTTTAGTCATGCCGGCCACATGACCACGGAAACTTCTTCGGACAGCGCTGGCTCTTCGGCTTTGAAACGGAGATGAGCACTGCAACCCTAGAGTCGGATTCGACTGGCTTTCGAGCAAGGAACCTTTACCTTTTTATTCCCATTCCAGTTCCTGGTTGTCAAATGTCAAACATGTACTAAAACAGTGAATCCCTGCTCCCAGACATCTATGTGAGCTTCTGTAACAGGTTCTTCTTCAGATGTTGCTAGGGAATGTTTTGTAAGTTTCTGCTAGGGCATGGAAACTGTCTTCATGGGGTTGGACCCCACACGCATCAGTAACATTGTGTATACATTGGCCTGTAGTCAGAGGTCATTTGGGGGGGGAACGCGGGGGAACGCAGTTCCCCCGGGTGAGGTGCAGGGGGGCGGGACACATGACGAAGCCCCGCCCCCTGCTTCCAGCCGCCCCACTTCCAGCCCTCATTCAGCCAGGAGGAGACAGGAGAAGAGGGAGGGTAAGTTGCTTCCTCCCCGCCTCTCCCCACCCCTGCCTGCCTGGGGCCAGGGAGGGCTTTGGCGGGGCTTCCTCGCACTCCCGCTGGCCTTGCAGGTCCACCGCCGGGCCCCTGATGTCAGGGTGTGTGGCATATGCTAATATGTTATGCTAATGAGTTCCCTTAGCTCTTTTCTACGAAATGACCCCTGCCTGTAGTGATCAACTGAGCCAATGCAGTCTGCTGGCCAAAATATCTGTGGCCCATCAGGGGCTCAGTCCACAACACAGAGGAGGCGCCCATCTCTCTTCTTCCATTCAACCTCCACTAGAGTAGGTAATTCTGCCTGTTACCAAATATGCTTGGGGCAACTTCCTTGTCTACATGTAGAGGATTCAGGTCCAGGTTCAAATGGAAGGGAAATAGTACTGCATGCCCAGAGGCTTGGGAACGGAGCAGAAAGTGGCGGCACTCCAGAATAGGCTTAGAAAGTAAAACTAGGGCTGGTAATAAACTGGATTAGTCAGAGTGAGTATATTGAGGAGAACCAGTCATATCAATACTTCAGTACATTTCAGCACAAAATATCAAACAGCCGTTTGATAACAGTAGTTACCTCCACAGAGTAGTGCGCAGAGCAATCAAACAAAAGAGAAAGGGGGACCAAGAAGTAAGTAGTGGAGGGAAAGAAGACAGAGGGACACCATTAGTTATCCTGTTCTGCACTGGAAAGTTATCTGGTGCTGAGCACAATTCATGGACTTGCCAGAAGGCAGGGAAAGTCTGGAGATGTTAGAATTAATTCTGATAGGTAAGGGATGGAGGGTGAGGCGGATTAGAGGTCTGTCATTCTTCCAATCAGAGAGAAGGAGACTGGAGATGTGAAAGAGGCTTGATTGGCTTGTTGGAGTGAGAGCTGGTATGAAGAAATCTTTGACATGAAGGGAATGACTGAGCTGTTTTCTAGACCATAGCCTTTATTACTTGATTAGGTCAAAATATGAAATAGTCATCATGCCTTGATCAGGCTGGGTTGAGTCTGCTTTCCAGGACTCTGCTAAAGGTCTTCTTCTGTCTAAGGGGGAGGAGGATACTCTGATATGCTTGAGTTCTTCTTCCTGCAGTCCCTGGAGGCAGGAAATTGAATGCACTTTCCAATTCCAGGGGGAGAAGGAACCCACCATTAGTATTTTCCTTGCCTCCCTCTGTGAGAACAGTGGATTTAGAATGCACTTGAGACTTGCTTTAAAGGAGCTCTTTTTTCTTTCTTTTTCACTTGTGTGCCTTCTTGTGTGCCCTTCCCTTTGTTTTAAAAAAAGTAAAAACCCTTTGTTTGTCCATGCCTTCTCTGAGGCTGCCTTCTCCTGCTTGCTGCTTCTGTCACAGTGGATCACCTGGATGGGCAGCTGAGGCCTCCAACTATGGGGTCTCCTCTGACAGAGTTGAGCAGTGTTATCCACAGGCAGGAGGACTCTGCAATCCTGCTTGTCTAATCATCCTGCCATGGCAAAACTGGAGAGAGACAGTGACCATGGGGCATCCAGCTCAGAGAACAAAGAAGCCAGCTCACGTTTTGGCACCAAAGCCGTACCCCCTACTGACCAGCCAGTACACCTAATGTTGGCCTATCAGGCCTGCTCAATGCTGTCTTCAGGGTAGTGTTGCCAGGTTTGATGTCCGTGCCAGTGGGGACTGGGAGGGAACTTTCCAGGAGCAGGGCGGAGCAATGTGACACGCTGACATTATGCGGAAGTGACATCATCTTGTCGGGGACTCTGTGGGCGATGCTCTCGTTTATTAGCAAAACTCTATGGAAAAATTGGCATCAAACCATATAGTTTTGCCCCCAAACCAGAGTGTTGTCGCACTATGTCCCTGATGCAATGATGTCACTTCTGCATTGTTAGAAGCAGGGGTCATTTTGTAGAAAAAGAGGTGCAGGAGCTCATTAGCATAACTCATTAGCATAACTCATTAGCATATGCCACACCCCCTGACATCACAGGAAGTGTGTCAGAAGGCAGCACCCACCGCTCAGGCTCCACTGGACTGTTTTGGATTGCTAGCTATTGGGGGGGGGGGAGAATGTGTAGATCTGTCCTCACAGAGGAGGGAGAGCTTGTACCTGAATAAAGCTTGGTCTTAAAGGTGCCACTGGACTGTTTTGGACCGGGGGGCGGCTCTCTGTCTCCTGCCTCAGACTTGAGAAGATGGCACCAAAGAGTTTAGACAGATAGAGAGGTCAGGACACACAGAGCATCCTTTCCTTCCTGCTATCTGACCCTTTCCTTTGAAGTAGAATGCTACTCTTAGGGGCAATTTCCTCTGCTTCCGCTCTCACACTCCCTCACTCTCTCTCTCCTCTCTCCCCCATGCACGAAGAAGGTGCTTGATCTCCATCTTGCACCATGGAGGCTGGACATGCGTCTAGCATCCAACACCATCTAGCTAGTTAGAATAGGCAATCTATATCTATCTCTTACCTGCACTCTCAACCATGTATTTCCTTTAATAAATGTTATTAGTTTTAGAACGGACTACTGATTTCGTGTGACTTTGTAAGTCTGTTAAGAACAAAAAAACCCCAACAACTGTGAGCTGAAATACCCGCAAGTATAAATGTACAAAAAGAGACTTTTAATAAAGTGAAAAGAAACATATAATTAGCAATATCAATAACATATGGGAATGAAAAATCCTCAATCCATAAAGGGAAACAGTCAAGTCCAGAGAAGATTCCAACACTTTTCCTAGGTAGTTGATAGTGTTTCAGACTCCTGGTCCTTCCTCAGGAACACAGAACTGTAGAAGTACAAAATTGTACAAGTATAAAATACAGCAATGCTTTATAACAATATAGCTTCTAAACCATGATGCTTAATAACCATATATAATCACTGTTACACAGAGTCTCATGTATCTTACCAACATAGGAAGTCTCATACCAGTTTCTTAACAGGAAGTTCTAATTCTAAAATGCACTCCCTCAGTGTATGGCTGATGGCACTGCTCCTCAGCATATATCGCCACCAATCAGAAGGCAAAGCCCGGGACCTGCCCACACCACAACTGCTGCGGCAACCTGGTCTTTTGCATATGGAAGCTAATTGGACTTCACTCCATTCCACACCTCAAACTCCCCCCCCCCAAGGCAGTTGGAATGTCAGTTGCATATGGAACCTGCTGTATTCTGGTGGTGTGCAGGTCCCAGGTTCATGTTTTAAAAGCAGACTGACACTGTTTGCCCAAAGCCAGAGCACTCTCCCAGAGCCTCTTTCTAGATCCCGTTGTATTTATTTCCATAACGGGCCTTATTTCTAGTATATATATAAATACTTAGCATAATATGGGCCATAAAGCCGCCAGTATATACTCACTTATGGGCTAGGTCTCCTAAGTTTTAATATGCACCACTAGGGTTGCTTCTATGAGAACAGGTCCAACATGCCTCAAAGTATGCAGCCTACTAGGACAGCTTTTTAATGCCACATTGATTGCAGCTGGTAGTATCTTCATTAGTTTTTAAAGTTATAGAACCTCTTATAGTAAAAATACTAGGAGTTGCCAACTCCAGGTGGAACATTCCATACCTAATTTGGGCGTGGTCTCCTAAATTTTAATATGCACCTCACAGGGTTGTTTCCAAGTAAACAGGACCAAATGCCTCAAATATATATATGTGGTGGAACATTCCAAATTTGATATGGGCCAGGTCTCCAAAATTTTATACTCGTACAATACTTGTACAATTTTGAACTTCTACAGTTCTGTGTTCCTGAGGAAGGACCAGGAGTCTGAAACACTATCAACTACCTAGGAAAAGTGTTGGAAATCTTCTCTGGACTTGACTGTTTCCCTTTATGGATTGAGGATTTTTCATTCCCATATGTTACTGATATTGCTAATTATATGCTTCTTTTCACTTTATTAAAAGTCTCTTTTTTTACATTTATACTTGCGGGTATTTCAGCTCACAGTTGTTGTTTTGTTGTTCTTGGCTATATTAGACTGTGTGCTGTACTGTTTGTTACTGCAAAAGTTTTATAATCACAATTAAGGAGAAGACATTGTTGATGTAAATTTAATTAGAAAGATCGTTTTTTTGGCTCTTGCCCAATGGGATATTGAAATAATAAGTAAGATAAGATAAATTTGCTTTAAAAGCTGTAAAAATTTGGTTAAAGAAGGATAGAAATAATTTGATTAGGAAGGGTAGTGTAAATTTAAAATAGTGTTAGAAATGTGTGTTTATTTATGATGAGTTTCAAGTTATTTATAAGTTGTAGTTCATGTATAATAAATAATAGGGTAATAGGGTTTCATGGAAGTAAAATGGAATTTAAGGAAGGGGTTGGAAATATTTATTTTTATTAAAGTAATTTATTTTGGGAAACGTGAGTGTATAATTTTTGACTATAAGGAGAGAATGGTAAATGAATTGGAAAATACTGTTGCAGGAAGCTAATGGAATATGGTGATGTTTAGTGAAAAGGGACAAAAATGTCTAATTAATAATTGAAAAGTTGTGAGAGCCTTAACTAAAGAGCATAATGTCTGTTGAGATCTGTTAGGAGTAATTTGTATAATATCTATGTAGTTAAAGTCCAAATGATATAGTAGAAATGTTTGCTTGGGAGGAAAATGTTCTAAATCTATTTTCAAGAAGTAAGGTGTGTTGCTGTATGTGGATAATAGCGGTTGTATATGTATATGTTTGTGTCTGTCTTTGTGTTTATCTGGTGTGTGTTTATCACTCTTAAAACTCAATAAATACATTCTTAAAAAACAACAACAATGGAATCATCAGTCAGGTGCTGGGTGACTGTACTGGGGCTAGTTGAATGGATTTTGTGACCATTGATGGTTCTACTAGGGAGTTGAATAGGTTCCCAGATACAAACAAAAGATGGGAGATGGGTCCCTGATTAGTGTCAGGAAAGACAGTTAATAATTTGAATGTTTGATTGGTTTATCTCAGTATCCTGAGGGATGGAGCAAGGAAGGACAAAGAATTCACACATAGACATGAGATGACACCAAAGGGCTAAGTTTCTGGAGACAGGGCTATTTGCCAGATGGCCTCTGAATAGCCTTTATAAATGTAGATACTTCAGCTGGTGGAATCCATTGTTATTCCATAAGCATATCTCTGCTGGGTGGAGGGGAAGATTGGAGGCTTGCTCTGAGGTTGCCTTATGAAACCTGAAAATGGAGACCCCTTTTTCAGAGCTGTGGCCTGCTCTGTGTTTCAGAACCAGGAGTGCCTTCCTTGGCCTGAGATTTGTGGGTCTCTGGGTCAGGTTAGAAGTGGGGTACCCCTGCTATTTGGGCTACCCGAGAGTAAAGGCATAAGTTCCAAACGCAATTAATTACAGACTGAGTGTCCACTATGATATAATGCTAGAACAGGCTTCCAGAAAACTTGATAAGGAGCCATTGCATGTAGATACTATTCAAGCAGATGGACCTCAGTACAAACATCACCAACAAGACACATGTCCCAAGTAAGCCTCACATTTCAAAAACTTCTTCACATCTGGTTTACTGTTGGAACCACAACATCCTGTCTAATGCATGGATCCAAAGCTACCTATTCCCTTGTGACAGAATGGTCTGTGAACTCTGACATATAGAATGAGTGAAGCTATTCTTGCCAATAGTGGCAAAGAGCAACTCAGGGAAGGGCACTCTACCCCCTTCTTTTTTGTTGGAAAAGGTGAGAAAGCAGCATGGAGGAGGGGGCAAGGAAACCCGCTAGAATTTTTGAGCTTCAACATGTCTCTATGGTAGGCCTCCATGTCACAGTAACCAATGTGATGTCAGATCCCCAGTTAAAACACTCCCCACAACACTTTTGGCAGTGCAGGGAGGGCAGGATAAAAATCGAATAAATAAATAAATTAGAGATGTGCTTACTTGTAGGAACTGGTTCGTTGTGAGGACTAAAGAAAGCGCACAAAATTCAGAGAGTGTAGGTACAACCCAATGCATCCCCTCACCCCATGCATGCGTCAGCATTCAGCCACTAGCGTTTCTATGACAACCCTGACAGATATACGGTGTCTTATCTACTCCAGCCTAGCAAAAGAGTCTCCAAGGCCAAATCCCATGAGAACAGACTGAGGTGTGCAACTTAAGAAATAATTATGGCTACTACAGGCAGACACTCAATCCACACACACTCCCCCTCAGGAATTCCCCCTCCCCTAAAGCATGGCAAGGTGAGCAGTGAAGCAAAATGAAAAGAAGCGAAACTGAAACCTTGACATGTGACCACTCAGATGACCAAGCATGGTGTAGTGGTTAAGAATGGTGGACTCTAACCTGGAGAACCCCATTTGATTCCCCACTCCTCCACATGAAGCCAGTTGGGTGACCTTGGGTCAGTCACAGTTCTCTCAGCTCTCTGCCTCACCTACCACAGGGTGTCTGTTGTGGGGAGAGGAAAGGAAGGCAGTTGTAAGGTGCTACAAGACTCCTTTGGGTAGTGAAGAGTAGGGTACAAAACCAACTCTTCTTCTTCATTCAATGCACAACAGTTACAGGTAAGTGCAACCCTATTTTATCAATGACCGCAAATGCAAATAAATGTAATTTTTTTCTTCTTACAAAATTGGTATTAACTTGGTCTGTCTACCTAACCTGGCCCATGCTCATCAAGGTACAAACATAAGGTTTGGAGATTCCTGCCTGGGTATGAATTACAAGACTTCCCCTGCCCTGGAATATGTGACTATGAGAAAGTGGACAAGCTCAGAGTGCTTTTCTTTCTCCATGGAGTAGCTACAGAGAGTCCCCATGCACCAGGGATTTGATAAATGTTTTCCAGATCAAAGGGTTTGCAGGCAGAAGTGAGCTCTTCAAGAAAGAGCATAATGTGTTTTATTGCCTGTTTTTTCTACTCACTGATATTTTTGTCTGCTTGAATAGTTTGAGAGTCTCTGGAACACAGTTCCTCTTGGGCTTAATGGGAAATTGAAATATCCTGCATTTTTGAGGAAGTTCAGTGTTGAAGCATCAGAAATGCCTGATACACCCAATGCAAACCATTTTGAAGGCCCTGAAATGCCTACAACGCCAGCTGAACCCACATCACAGTTGCCTTCACGCCCCAAAACAGCATCCTCTCCACCATCTCCAAACAAAGTAAGTGGCCAGAATTCTTATGGTAAGGTATAGTTTAGAAAAATAAATCCCAGTTTCTCAGTTTTACTTATTCCATTTGTATTGTCACTTTTCCTCCAAGTTGTTCATGGCGGTATACTTCACTATTGAGAAAGACTATACCAAGGGCACCCAGTGGCTGAGCAGGAATTTGAATCCAGGTCTCTCCACTTTATCCAGGTCTCTCTATTCCAAGCCAAATAACCTTTTATTGTTTCCTGTCTTGGACTGCAGAAATAGGGATGTTGCTAAGCACTCCAGTTGTGCAAGCTCTGTCCACTGCATAGTACTCAGGTTATAATGCACAGTGAACTGCTGTGCTGATGATTTTTCCAACTTAGAGCATCAGCTCTCCTGTTGGACGTAGCGATCCAAAACATCTATTTTGTGCATACAATTTGCATGAAAGATGTTCTCTGTGAACGTCTTTTATGGGCTCCGTAGTTGTCAGTTTCATTTTCATGGAATAATTTTCACTATATAGAGGCTTTGCAGTGTTTCAGTTTTATCTGACAAATTGTTTTATTTGTGGATAAGTAAAATACAAGTGGCCCTGACCTGGATAGCCCAGGCTATCACCAGATCTCAGAAGCTAAGCAAGGTCAGCCCTGGCAAGTATTTGGATGGGAGATCTCCAAGGAATACCAGGGTGGTGATGCAGACACAGGTAATGGCAAACCACCTCTGAACGTCTCTTGCCTTGAAAACCCCATGGGGTTGCCATAAGTCAACTGTGACTTGATGGCACTTTCCACCATCAAAGAGCAAGTGAGGGTTTGCAAGAAACCCATGGGAAAATTCTCCCTCTTGTCACCATTTTCTTCTCTGACTTCTTGCTGCCCACTGCCACTGCTGCCTTTTCCCTTCAGCTTCCCACATCCTCCTTTGCTTTGCCAGTATTTTTCTTCCTCTGTCCTCCCTCCATTGTCGCTGCGCCTCCTCGTCCTGCTTCTTCCCTTTCCCACACTCCTACTTCCTTCTCCCTTCCCCAGTGCCATTTCCCCCATTTTCATCCTCTTGCACCACCTTTGCTTACTCCTTCCTTTCTAGGGTTCTACCTTGCTTCCTGCGGGGGGCTCCCGGCTCCTGGCTGGGTTCTTCTGGTAAGTGCACCATGATGATGTCACCTGGGAGTGACATCATTGTGTTACTGCCACTGGGGGAGGGTTGACACTCTAGTTTTTGGGCAAAACACTATGGGGTTTTTGCCCTCAAAACCATAGAATTTGCCCCAAAACCAGAGTGCAACCCCCCCCCCCGACATCGGCAACACAATGATGTCACTTCTGGTTGGTGTCATCGTAACCGTGATGTCCCTGTTCAGGGGTGGGGCTTCTCCCACTGGCCAGCTGGCTGGCAGTGGATTGGAGCCCCGAAGACTGGGGGATCCCCTGGCCAGACCAGAGGTCTGGCAACCAGTGTTCCCTCTAAGCTGAGTTAGTGTGAGCTAGCTCACAGTTTTTTAGCCTCTGGCTCACACATTTTTGTCTTAGCTCAGGAAGGATGGCTCCAGTGCGAACTAATTTATACAGTAGTCAAATTGCTTGCTCACAACTTTAATGCCAGATGCTCACAAAGTAGAATTTTTGCTCACAAGACTCCACAGCTTAGAGGGAACATTGCTGGCAACCCTATTCCTTCCCCAGATCTGCTTCTCTTGCAGTGGTAGCAGCAGCAGTCTTGGCTGCCCTATCCCTCTAGAAGACCCAGCTTTTTTCCATTGCTGAGTTTCCTCCCCACCAGCCACTGCTTCCTTACAATTGTAGCCTCTTTCTTCATTGCATTTTTTAAAAATGAGGCTACTAAGCAAACCTTCCCCAAAGGCAGCTATGAACTTGCAACACAGGGATTGTGTGGATTTTTTAATCCACACTCTAGGGGACATGGTTTAGAATTTTGAAAAAATAAAAAACCTAAAATACTTACAATATCTTAAGGTAGATAAAACCAGCCAGATGCCTCCAGAAAGTTTACAGGCAAGGCATGGAGGCAAAGCCTCTCCATTGTTGCCTCCCTCAGCTGCTATTCAGAGGTCCTCTGCTTGACTATGGAGATCCAACTGATCCACCATGGCTAATAGCTACTAATGCCCCATCTCCCAGGACTTCGTTAAATCCCTCTTTTCTAGCCACCTGAGCTAGTGCTGAGCTAGGTAGCAGTAAATTCCACAAGTTAATCTCTATTTCAGTGAAGTTCTCCTTTTTGTTTGTCCTGTATATATTGCCCATTATTTTCATTTGGCTCCCATCAGTACTAGTATTATGGGAGATGGAGAAAAAATTCTCTGTATCCACTTTCTGCACTCCATGCATAATTTCATAAACCTCATCTTTCCTCTGAACTAACAAGCCCCAATCAGTTGGACAAAGCTTGCATCCATTTATTTTTAACTGCATGGTGTTTATTTATTTATTTATTATTTGTTTATTTAATTCAATTTTTATCCAGCCCTCCCTGCCAGGCAGGCTCAGGGTGGCTTACATTAAAAAGTTAAAATGCATTAATACTCAGATAATAGACATCATGAACTCATGTACATAACAAATAAAGTGCTGGTGGCGGTATAACATTGCATAGTGATCCCAGAAGGCCATGGTGGAATGGTGACAAGGGAGAATGGCCAGAGTCAGTATCCAATATATTGCAGGCTATTGGTGATGGCATAGAGGGCCTTACCACAGTTCAGTTGTTGTTGTTGGTAGCGGCCTGGTAGAAGAGCTCCATTTTGCGGGCCCTGTGGAACTGCAAGAGGTCCCGCAGGGCCCTGATGTCTTCCGGGAGCTCATTCCACCAGTATGGAGCCACTACTGAGAAGGCCCTGGTAGAGGCCAGCCTGGCATCTTTTGATCCAGGGAGGGCCAAACGATTTTGAGACCCCGATCTCAGTGCTCTCTGGGGAACATGTGGGGAAAGGCGGTCCCTCAGGTAAGCAGGCCCCAGACCATATAGGGCTTTAAGGTTAAAACCAGCACCTTGAAGCGAATCCGGTATGCTTTCGGCAGCCAGTGCAATGCCTTCAGCACAGGCTGGATATGCTCCCGCACATGGAGGGCCATCAGCAGCCTGGCTGCTGCATTTTGCACCAGCTGCAGATTCCGGATTTGCAACAAGGGCAGCCCCATGTAGAGAGCATTACAGTAAAAGATAGATGGAAAAAAATGGATATTTACCAAAACATTAGGAGCATGGAATGTTAAATTATCCTAGGTGGCTGACTCAACTGAAAAGTATTGCATTTGATGTGATGTAGAAATTCTGAATGATATGTTGGTTCTCTTATGGATCATTCACATTGCCTCAACCTATACTTGTGTACACAGCTTTCCTTTCTCCCAAGGAAATCTGCACAAAGATTGAAAGTTACCGTTCTTGAGGAGGTCCCATTCATTTCAGTGGTACTCATTCTGGAGATCTTCTCATACCCATTATTTTTCTAAATTTGCAGTGCCAAATAAAAAGCATTTAATATTCTGAATTTAAACAAGTATTCACCATTAAATTAACTTGCTTTTCAGTCTCTACTTATGTTGATTTTTAAAGCTGCCAGTCTCTTATTTTTAGATACCGGATGCCAGCAGGCCAAATACGGCAGCAGTTCAGACTCCACCAATTCTGAACTGCAAACCAATTGAAAATAAAA